AACAAGCTTGGTCAATAAAGGATTTATTATATGGCTTTCGAGGAAATTTTTCTTGCGGGACACGGCGGGTAGATAGCTTCATCTTGCCCGCTCGGGTAGCCAATCACGGCGCAGGATTTGTTTCATCTTGCCCGCTCGCGGAGCTAGCCATATAATAATAAGCCTTATTTTAACAGTATCCATACTGGTAAATCTCTACTGGGAAAGCTTTACGAGAAATTAACTAAGTTTCTTTTTCTTACTCGCGGTCTATAGGGAGGGTGTTCGTTAAAACTCTAGGGAGCCACCTTCAGCATTTACCCTACGAGTGATGATATTTGAAAATTCTCTCAATATTGCACGAGCCTTTAGGTGGAGAGCTGAAAAGCCTGAGCCCCGCTCCGCGGACTACCCTACAGAATACTCCGCGGACTATCCTACGGACTACCCCAATGGATTAACCAAATTTACTTTTACGGGGGAAAGAGACACAAGCCTACCTGTTCTCCACCACCTACACGATCATTACTGCATGAAAAACAGCCGCCATCTTCTTTTCACCGACTTCCTCGACCCAGTCTTTTTTCATTTTCGCCCCATTCTTTATCGGCCACCAAAGCCGAGTTAAGCCAAGCCTAAAAGCGGAGCTCACAGAAATAAATAAATAAAAGACTATTTAACCTGAAAGGCCAATCAGTGATCACTGGATCACTGGTATTAACTGGCGATCAGCATTTACATATAAAATACAGCTATTCATAAAACATTTACATGAAAAATTATAACCATTCTGGAGATTATATGAAAACAAGCATTTAAAAAGAAGAGCAACAACAACAAACAAACAAGCAAAAAATTGAACCTAATTTACGGTACATACATGATTGATACGGTCTTGATCCATAAAATGCTTAAAAATATGTGTTTTAATCTTAGAAAGAGTGTTTAATTCTCTGATCTCTCTTGGTAGTATGCGAAGCGTTCTCGATTTGATGAAGCTAGGCGCGCACGGTGGTCTCGGGTAATGTGGGACAAGGAACGCGGGCTCACAAAACGGCTGGAAAGGTGTCGGGCCTGTTATGTCGGGTCAGGGGCGGGGGAGAACACTCTGCGACGCCTGGCACTTTTTGTGTATCTGAATCATCCAACGTCACATCCGGTAAAAAAGCGCGCTGAGCGGCAAAATCATTTGAATATGCCATAATCGTTCTCTGCGTAAGTAAAATGGCAATATTTCGCAATCGGCCGGATATTTTAACGTTTTATTTGGCCACGATAAACAAAATTTTTCTCGTTCCTCGTCATATCAGTTTGTTTGAAGAACAGGACAATTATTAATTCAAAAACACGCTGTTTTGGAGGCGTGTTTTTTACGAAGTGTCGTCATTTCTTCCTCGCTGAATTCCACAGGAGTCATTGTTTGGGTTGAAATAATGAATTCTAGGCAAGTTGCACCCAATTCAAATATCCTATTCTCTTAGGTAGGCATTACACTAAGAAAAAAGCGCAATGACAGGTTTCTAAACATAGGGGAACCTAATTAACAAAAGCGGATTTTTAAAATTTACTGTTGCCAAACACTCGAGAGTACTTGAGTGCTGTTAATCGTATCACTGCAAGAATAGATCCACACACATACCGCGCTTTGCGGAACTTTCCCACCGATCGACACTAACACAAACTCATGTGTTTGCTCTTGACTCAAACTGGTGCCATAAAATACGTTACGATTGGTTAAGAACCTTAAACAAGAGATGTTTTCCTTAAGCAATCCCTTAACTGATAAACGCTTCGTTACAGGCAGGCCGTGAACCCCTTAAAAAAAGCAAGAGGATTAGTTTTAACGGCGATTCAGTAATTTAGACATGTCGTGGTTTTTTCTTATTTATAATCAAATTTATTTTTCCGTTTCAACAGTGTTAAATGTCAGCAACGCTNTGATTGGTTGTTATCGCGGTCAGGATTTTCCTCTCTCTGCTCACGGTCACGGTAACGCGCGCTCGATGTGTGTGTGAAGAAGGTCAACAATTACAAGAGTGATTCGAAAGAGAGGAAAAATAAATAAGTTATTTTCCAGCTTAGCGTCGGTCCATATAGTAAAAAAATTGCTTCCCTTGGCCCGCGGCTTTTCAAGACTTCGGTCACGGTTTTTCACTATACGGACCTCCCAGCCGGCAAATAATACATACAGTCAAACCTCCCGTAAGAGACCACCCAAAAAGCCAAGCCTACGTGTCGCGTACGGGAGCTTAGACCATATTGGGTCAAAATTTTGCGTCATTGGCATATGATAACTGCAGAGACTCACCCCATGATTAAATGTTTTATTCATATGAATAGTCCAATTTCAAGAAAAAATACGGTACTTTCCATTGAAGAAAAAAATTAAACCGTACTTGCAATGCATTACCCAGAACGCTGTATGGTTACAACACCTTATTATCTAATTTCCGCTATATTTGTCAAGTGGTCGCTTCATGGCCAGAAATTTCGGACATTTGAGCCCGCAGGGGTGTCGGCGGTTTCTAACCAAAAAATAAAGAAAACCATAACAAAGATGGCGGATCGAAGCCGTCGAAAGTGTGCATGTGGTAAAGTCGACTACAGACAGTTAGATTCAGTGCATTTGCAATGTCAATAAACGTAACGTCTGGGAACGGTTTTTGCTTCTTAAACTCGTACCAGCTCTTTAAACACTTGTTTGTTACGCTGACTGTTAGAAGAATCTGATCATTGTTGACACAAGGCTTTGCTATATATTGTAAACCGTGATTTGAATGAATGCCGATGCAGTTGAGATACCGCTCCCGATCGTAGTAACTCAACACCTCAGACATTGAGAATTTGTAGTTTCTCAAGAAACTGTTAAAATCCGATCTTCGGCTTATGAATTTACCTTTCACTTCGGCTGGTAAAAACCGTACACAATGAAATATGCCCTGAGAAGAAAGGCAGACATGTCACGGAGTTCCTGTTCCGTTCCACTGCGAAAAAGGGGAAGAATTTCTATGTTTCTACGATTCTTTTAAATATAAAACAGCGAATCGAAAATATAAACAGGCAGACCAAGCGAATTTCCCGCGACACGCTCTTGCAAAGAGCCTTGATACTGCATGCTATACAACACGATTGCATTCTTAACTTTTAACTGCTGTCCAAAAAAACTGCAGGCCCAGAAGGCCTGGCTCTCGCTGAAAATTTTGATAGCAAACATGCCGGGTTTTCGGTTGAGAATAAGTCGCAAAACCGAGAAATTCTTCGCCCTTTTTGCAGTGGAACGGAACGGGAACTGCGTGACATGTCTGCCTTTCTTCTCAGGACTTATTTCATTGTGTACGGTTTTTAACAGCCGAAGTGAAAGGTAAATTCATAAGCCGAAGATCGGATTTTTTATTATTCAGGTAGGGCTTTAACTGTATTTTATGAATCGATTTTGGCAAATTGGGTAGCGTCGTTGGATTTTTTGTTATTCCCTGAACAATGTGCAACCTTTGATTGTTTTGCCGGTGATCTGCAGGAGTTTCTAAGGCTTTGACTGGATCTGAAGTTGCAAAACGATATCGTTCCGAGTGAAAGGTATGGAATTCATTTTTGCTGTAGGTTTTTTAACTAAAATAGAGCTGAAATATCACTGAATGATTCTCGATTTTGGCAAACTGAAAAATAGCATTAGTTGTGCTTGTATTTTCCGTAAATCAATCGCGTCTCATACAAAGCTTTGTAATTCCGTACGCCACAGGAGGGAGAGGTCAACTTTGCTTGCGTAGCGATGCGATTGCGCGCCCGATGATCTTGGCCATTATGACGTCATTCGTGAGCCAGCCAATGAAGTTTCAATGACCGCTAAAAAATGACACCAGAAAAGTTTTTCATCCGATGATTGCTCAAAGAATTTGAAAGAAAGCGATCAACAGACCACAGGAATAAGATAACCTATTAATGTTGTGTCCAAAAATACCTTGGTTTTCAAAAATTAGATGTCGGAAGGCTCAAAAACACGCCAAATTTGGAGATTGCTCAATTGAAAACGTGATTGAACAGTGAAGCTTTACGCCCGTTTCCTGGGCGATATCTGGAGAACCCAACGACGAACAACACGAAAACAAAAATGTGATCTTGATATGGTTTAAAACGTTTGAATGGTGATAAGAACGAATCATTTAACATATGCATAAAAATGATCAGTGGGTTTAAACCCATTATTTTGTAGACGATAGCGTGGAGGACCTGCNGTTGTGAAGATCAATAAAGTATTGTTGCTGTTGTTTACAAGGGAAATGGCAGCCGAGCGGATGTTACTAAAACTGGGAACGGGAAACGGGGAACGGGGAACGGGGAACGGGGAACGGGGAACGGGGAACGGGGAACGGGGAACCGGGAACGGGGAACCGGGAACGGGAGTCTGGGAACGAGTGTACAGCGGTAACCCGCCAAAGAATTCAAAATGGTGGACCAGGAGGGAGCGGTCAACTTTGCTTGCGTAGCTATGCGATTGCGCGCCCGATGATCTTGGCCATTATGACGTCACTGATAACCCTAATGATGAAAACGAATCATTTAACATGTGCATAAAAATGATCAGTGGGTTTAAACCCATTATTTATTACAAGATAGCAAAAAACAAAAAACAAAAAAACAAAAAACAACTTTATTTAACGAGGGTAACATAATTTACCTGTTGCCCACTAGTTTACAGTATGGCCCTCCCTAATTTTACATTAAATCATTTACGTATTATATACTTATGAATAGTGATTAAAATTTAAATTAACTTAATACAAATAAGATCTAGAAAGTGCTACTAATTACAAAGTGTTCTAGTGTAACGTGGAGGACCTGCTGATCAATACTCGAACCCCTCGAAATATGAGAAAGTATTAGATGGAAAATGCTCCCTTGCAAAGACATTTGAACTATCAAGTCATATGCTGGGTTGGAAAGTAAATAATGTACCAAGGAATTATTTTTCTGCGTTAAATTATCCGCAAAACAGTCAAAGCGAAAGATGACATTTTCTTCTGCGAGGCCAACCAGCTCAGAACAGACGAGTGGTTATTTTAAATGGTAAAATAATATAAAATCACTGTACAGGAGACCTAGATGAAACAGATGATATCCAGAATAACATGGACGAGACCTCTTGGCAGAAAGGTGCTTAATTTCATGTCAAAACGTTCGTCAAGTATGAGATCGGAGCAGGATGTATTTCCTCGGGCGTCCGCATGCAGTGCAAAGCTGTTTCTTCTTCTGAACTTCTGACAAGAGAGGTATCCTAAACTGGTGCTTTGGGTTCTATTTTTT